CCCAGGTGCCACAATGTAATCATCTTGTGCTAAGCGCCCCCCCCCCGAGTGCCAGGACTCTGACATATCTGACTCCCATCGACCCCTCACAACTGCCCAGTGAGCCAGCTTTTTGCAGATGTGACCGGCCTAGCCGCAGTTCACCCCCGGGCCGCGGGCCTAGTGGCCTTTCCCTGCCACGGCGACCGCGGGGAAGGCGCGGAGGTTTGCAGTTCCCGCCGCGCATCCGCCCGCGGGGAAGGCAGCCTCGGGGCCCAAGGGCCTGAGCGGCGCGGGGAGCAACAGCTGTCCATGTCGCGCCCGGGGACTGCGCCCCCGCGGGGCCGACCCGGCGCCGGGGCCGAGAGGAGGGGCGGCGCGGGGCGGGGCGCGCGGGGCGGGGCGGCACGGAGGAGGGGCGGTGGCACGGGCGGCTCGGGCTCCGCGCGCCGAGGAAGTCCCGCTCCGAGATCTGCGAGCGTCTGGAAGAGGCGCGCTCGGCGCAGTCGGGGAGCGAAGTCTGGAGCCCGGCGCCCCCTCCCTCCCGCCGCCGCCGCCGCCCCCTCCTGCCACCGTCCAGCCCGGGAGCCCGCGGCGCCGGCGGCGGCCGCCGATGGAGTTCACTTGAGCCGTGAAGCGGCGGGAGAAGCAGGCGCCCGCCAGCGGAGCTCGGGCCGGAGCTGAGCCAGCCCCGGGCGCTCGCCCACCTGCCCGCGAGCTCTGGCCAGCAGGCGCCGGCGGCCCCGCGCAGCCCGCCCGGCGCCCCGGCCGCTGCAGCGCCTCCCGCCGCCTCGCGCCGGCGAGGTCGACACAAAATCAAAGACTCCCGGAGCGTCCCCCTCCAGCGCCGCTGCGACGGCGGCGGGCCCGGGACCAGCCAGCCCGCGGCGCTGCTGGAGAGGCGGGACCCGCTGTCGGGGAGCCCGAGGCGGCCGCCGGGGAGCAGCCGCCGCCGCCGCCGCCGCGCGCCCTCCTCCTCCTCCTTCTCCTCCTCCTCCTCCTCCCTCCTCCCTCCCTCCGCACATGGTCTCCTTTGTCCTGTCGCCGCCGCCGCCGCCTCGCTCCTAGCTCCGCGCGCCGCGGCGGCGGCTCGGGCCGCACCTCTCCACCTCGCCCGCCAGCTTCCCGGCCCGGGACGCGCCTCGCGAGCCCCCCGCCGCGCCGCCCGGCCCCGTGCGCCGCAGGAGCGGCAGGGAGGCAGCCGGCGAGCGCGGGCCGGGCGCCCTCCCGCCGCCCGCCTGGACTCGGCCGCACTGGATGTGTGCGCGCGGCGCTGGCTCTCGGCCGCCCGAAGGCTGCTGCGACTCCGGTTCGGATTTGGTTCGCTTGCATCCGCTCTCAGACTTTGGCGAGGAAGACTCTTGGCGGACCGAGCCGGGTTGGAGTTGGGCGTTTTCTCTCCGTGCGCTTTGGTGTTTTCCCCCTGGTTTCTGATGATCACCCATCGAGAGCCCTGCCAAGGACCCAAACCATGAACTTGGGGCTGACAGGACCGCTTAACCCTTTGCGACCAGGTAATGCAGCCCCCGGGGGCGCGGCTCGCTCGCCGCCCTCGGTCGGAAGCGAGGCGGCTGGGTCGGGGGTCTTTTGTTGCGGCGGCCAGGCCCGCGGGCAGGGGTGGCAGGGGCGGGCTCCTCGCGTCTGGCGCGCCCGAGCCCCCTCCGTCCCCCTCCTCCTCCTCTCCCTGCCCCCCCCCCCCCTCGGCGGCCCCGTCGCCGCCTTTGTACTTTCCTTCCTCGGCCGGCCGGGCTTGGCCCGGGAGCGGTGGCGCGGGGCCCGGAGCAGCGCGGTGGTGCCCGGGAGGGCCCAGGGGCCGGAGGCGAGTCCAGCGGGGCTCTGCCGGATCCGGGACCGGGCCGGGTCGAGGCCTGCGCCCGCCCGCCGCGGGCTGGGGGCCCCGGGGCGCTGCACGTCTGGCTGGTGTCCGGGGTCGGGGGTCGGGGTCCCAGTCGGCACGCGGTGCCGAGGGAAGCAAAAGGGAATCCGGGCTCGGATCGGCAGCTGGTCAAGGAAGTCGTGCTTAAGTTTCGAGAAGGTTTCTCTTCGCCTGTTCGAAAGTCCCTCTTGCAGCCGGGGCGGGGGCGGGGGGCGGCCTTCGGGGTCTGCATCCGGAGGGGATGGAGGTGGCCGGGCTCTGCGCCCAGGGCTTTCTCACTCCCTTCGCCCGCCGCGTTTCCTTCGGCCAGTCGGCTTGACTGAACTTTTCCGCAGACGCCAACTACGCCTTGCAGTGTTTTTTTTTTTTTTTTTTTTTTTTTTTTTTTTTTTTTTTTTTAATTATGAAAAGCTAAAAGAGAGCTTTGTTTCTCTGTCAATCCTCGATGCAGTCTCTCCGTGCCCTTAACGCTCCGACACCGAGCGAGGGGCAAAGAGCGAAAAAGGCCAAAGAAAGCGTCAGGTCCGCGGCGGGTCCAGGCGCCCCGCGCTCGCCTGCAGATTCGGCTCCGCGCGCCCTTCAGCCCTTCCCGATTCAACAGAAAAAGAAAAAAAATAAATAAATAAAAATACAGGTAATAGGAGGAAATGCAGAATTTAAAAAAAATAGCGTAATGGATATGGAAACGTCCCCAAGATGAAGAGCCGAGGAGGCAGATAATTGGTACAAATATTTTGGAGGCTTAACTAGAAGGGAAGTTCATTGAGGAAAAGCAGAGGGGGATATCCGTGTGGCTTCCACTGAAGACCCTCCGCGAAGGAGCGCCTGTCCGACCCCTGACTGCGCTCTGGGCGCGCTCCTGAATCCATTATTAAGTGCAACCAAAGTCGCGGCGCCGACTCCTCTTGGGGAGTTTGAGCTTGGAGGCCTCCTGGAGCCGCCCTCTGCCCCCCGTTGCAGGCGGCGTCATTTCTAGCTTTGTGACACCTATCAGTGAATTAAAGGGCCCAGGACGCTTTTGCTAGAACACATGCTCCCAAGCCAGACCCATTTCCTCAATAACTTCACTGCTTGGCACGGTGGGAATCACATCCTCGGGTTTGCTTGGGGACGTCAGGATCACTTCACTGTCTGGTGACACTACCTTGCCGAGCCCCAGCGGAGCTGACAAAGGTGGCACTCCCGAGGAGGAAGGCCTGCGCGCCCGCAGCCTCCGAGCAGAGCTGTACCTTCCTGGTGCACACACACTCTCTGTGCAAATGCAAACTTCCCTTCCCCTGCCTATCTCTGCCTTTTGCATTGAGTGGACAGTAATTTGTTTTCCTTTCTTCGTGCCACTTAGACCTGCTTTTTTTTTTTTTTAATAAGTAATCCCTAAATGGTTGCTTCAGTTTGGTAAAATGATTTCATAAGCACTTTTTCTTTCACAAATACCAGCTTGAGTTTAATTTTTAAACCATGAATGTAACAGTTATTCTAAGAATACTTTTCTGAGGGATACTTTTTTTTTAATTGAAGAATGGTGAAATATTCATCTAGAAGTTTTTAGCTGGAAAACTCTGATTCCTAGAAATCTTAGTTAATATATCAGTATAGCGGCGCCATTGGTGTAATTTTTGGCTTTTTTAACTCAGCATTCGTTTGCCATTTCATCTATAACGCGTTTCTCCCTGCCCATGCAGCACTCTCTGTGGTTTGTTTTTTAGGAAAAGCTACTAAAATACATACTTTTATTTACTTTAGTTCAAGACATCAGGAAAGAAGGCCTTCAGTGTTTTGTTGTTGTTGTTTTAATTCCTGCAAAGTAGGAGGGAAAAAAAAAATCTATGAAGGATTTATTTTGAAACGTGTATAAATGCATGCAGTTTAATACTTGTTTGGCACATCCATTTTTTCTCTCGATCTGTTTATGTTTGGAGCCAACTCTCCAGAAGGCAGATCAGAATTAAAATAAAGAGGAACGTAGCAGTAATAAAAATACTTTGTGTCTTTCTCTATTACTTGCATTGAGGACTAGAACTCACCCCCCACCATGTGCATGGGAGTATTCCATCTTGGTCACTCTAAGGTAGAAGACTCAACTGAATATCTCCTTTGTCCCCAAAGCCATCTCCAGAGTCCGAATACGCTGTAGTTTGGATACCCCCCAACCCACTGCCTACATTTCTGTCTCCCGTATTTATTCGACATTCTATGCTTTGCTTTGTCAGGATATGCATCTCTGTGTGTATAGTGTGACAGAGAAGTGATGTCTTGCAGAGATGTCTAGCAAAAGCAGCATCAATACAGCTGAGCCATTGTAACCTGAAATGCAGAGGGACCTGCGAATTACATAGCTGGGGATACCTAATTTTTAATCTTCCAAGTTCTAGAAATATCCAGTGTTTCTGAAACATCACAGCAGTTTCCTCCAAACCGACTTTGTATTTATTCTCCACAACCTGAGTGCATCATTTGAATTGGCTTTAGCCTTGCTGTTTAAACAGGCTTATTTCCCCCTCGTGAAGCCGCTGGTGTAATTAGACAGGGTCTCTAGAAGATGGAAAGGCAACAACGCTGGAAGCAGGCATGGTGGCCGGTGTGCGGGCAGGCTCGGCAGCTCACAGCCCTGTGAACACCAAGGCTGTCCTGGTAACTGTGTGGAGCAAGGCTCTTAGGGTCATCAAATGAATCTTTGAACCAAATTGATTCTGGGAGCGCTGATCGACACTTAGCGAGGAAAAGCTTAGCACTGAATAATAGGCCTTTCTGATTTGCGAAAGAAAATTGAAAAATAGGCATGTCTTGCAAATACCCTGGAAAAAAAAAAAAAACGCCATTTCCAAAATAATGATCCGTCACCGGAATTGCAAAATGATTATGTGAATGAACTGAATTGCCTTGTGTATCATCTCCTAGAAATATGTTTTGCACAGATAATATGTCTAATAAGGACACATTTTTAAAATCAGATTTTTTTCCCCCCAGCAAATAACTGCACTGCAGGTCTTTCTCAAGCAGTCAACTAGCACCACCTTATGGATGATTTGGAGAAACTGCTGCTTGCCCTGTTAGGTTTTTTCAAAATGTAGTAAATTGATTTAAAATCCTAGTAATGACGATGATGAGGTCAGTAACGATACCTTTTCCCCTTCTTGTTTTTCAGGCTTCAGATGCTAGCTCTGAAAAACTCTTCAACACAGTTATCGTAAACAAAGGTAAGATCCTTGGTCCCTGTTCTTGCTTATTTTCACATTAGTTTCATTTTCATTGCCTAGGAAGAATGAAAAGAAAAAAGTAAAAAATGATGTGGTCTCTTTTTTTTTTTTCATTCGGCAGCTACTGTTCTAATTTGGTGTGTTTGCTGGTGACAGACTCTATGCGTTTCTGATGTGTTTAAAAAGTTTAAAGGAACACATTGCATCCTTATTTGAACTGATTGGAATGAGAAATCACTAGGATGTGTGTGATTTTAATGCAACATGGGAGGCTGTGATAGAAAAGAAGTGTTCTCAAAATGCCTTAACTTGTTACTTATCAACTCCCCAGCAGTGGGAGAACTATAAATAGCCCATACAGACTGCAGACTGTAATAACCAGTGGATGTTCAGTATCCACAGTATTGTGGCCATAAAGCAGTCCTTACTGTGCTGTGGGTTTTCTGTAAAGTTAATAAACGAGCAAGAGGGCAGAATTTAAATGTGTACTATCCCATTAATTTCTCCCAAACTGCAATAGAGAGAGAGAGAGAGAGAGGGAGAATGGCTAATGATACAGCAGGGCGTTAAGGAAAAACTTACCTTAAATCATTGCCAATAGGTTTCGGGGCAGTTTTCATTTGGAGCAGTATTGTTGGAAATAATGAAATTTCGGCAAGTCTCTAATCATTGGCCTGGAAAGCCGTATAATTTGAAAGGTGTAAATTATGCAAACTATGTACTCTTTCCACTCCAGAACCTGATTTAGAGGCTTGCTTGGTAATTGCTAAATAAAGAAGGTGTGCTTTCTTTGATGAACTCTTTCTGTGTTCCGCTGGTGGTGCTTGGGAGCTTTTGAATAGAGTTGAGCCTTCGCGAAGTGGCACTGGAGCCCGTGTCAGCCTTCCACGGTTGCCTTGGCCAGCACGTTCGCTGGCTGGTTAGGAAGACAATTTCCAAGTGCAGTTATTTTGAGCCCCCAGATTATTTTGGAATTTGAACCAACTGCAGTTTTAAATAGTACATTACGTTTAGAGTTCCCTTGAGGTGTGTGTGTGCTTACGTGACTGCTGTTGCTCCTAGAATTACTGTCATATTGCATTTTATCTGTTTATTGCATAATGGAGTATTCCAGTTTTATCTTTCGTCATATTTTTTGATGGACTGAAAGTTTGTGTAAATTTGTTACCCATAATGCTAAAAGCCCAATAAAAGATATGTGTGGTTGATGGTGTTCAGCACTCCTGGGTGGAAGAGGCGTGATTGTTTACTGCTGGTTTGGATGAGGGGCGAGGACTGGTGGACAGCGGCGTGTCCCTGTGCAGAAGGGACATGACAGGAGGGACAGGAGGTAGGACAGGTCAGCTCCCGCAGGGCTTCCGTGTCTCTGTGATTCCCCCAGGACCTCCAGCACACGTGGCTGCATCTCTCCTCGGCTAATCTGCTCCCTTCCCCCTTTCTGGGGTCAGCTGCAGCCTGGGAGGAGGCTCTGGGGCCTCCTCCGTCCTGAGAGACTCTCGAGAGCTGATGGAGAGTGAGGGCTGGCAGCAGCGCCCCTCTGCCTCCTTCCAGTGGCTTCCAGTCCAGCGTTTCCCACATTCTTATTTGTGTTTACTTACAGAGTGTGATTTGTGGCATCTATTGGATTGTGAATAGTCAGCTCCTGACAGCGGGCCTTTCTTCTGAGCTGCTTTTCTGGGGGTGATTTAGTTGCCTTGAGAGGATTAAGGTTTCTTTGTGTACACTAAAATCAACATAGGCTTTTTCTAAGCCTTGCTTGGGAAACCATACACAAATAAGCATTTTAGTTGATGGCAGATTATTCCTTTGCCCCTTATTTCCATCAAAATGGCCTTTCTTTTCTCCTCCTGAGTTTCCCCTTAATGCCTTATGCTAATTCCTGTTGGTAACATGAATGACAAGAGACTGAATCAGTGCAAATCCAGGTGCTGCAAGTAGACCGACTGGTATCCCGCACCCCCTTCCTCCCTGGAGAGAAAGAGATTAAGGGGAGGTGGTGAGGAGGGGGGGAAGCATCAGGGCAGTTTTGTTAAGGGGATTAGTATTCAAACTGCTAAATATCAGGAAAACAACTTCAAAAAGAGATTCATTGTGTAGCGATAATGTCAATAATTGCTTGGAGACAGGTGCACAGAGTCTCTCGTTCTGTGCTCCCGGTTTGGGGTCTGTTTTTACTCCAGGTAGTGGCGGTATTTACTAGATGGATGGTTGACAAGGCCTCCAAGGAACTGTCAGCTTCTTGCACATCAAGTTCAAGTTCTGCAAAGCAGCCTGTCTGCCCGAAAGTCAGGCCTCCTGTCTTTGTCCAGTATCTTTAGCCAAGAGCAAAGGAAAGCATTGTAAGAAAGGGCGAATTTACACCAGGTAACAAACACTACTGGGAAAATCCTCAAAGCCTCTGCCGATTGAACAGTCTAACGAGAGTGCAGGGGGAGCTGACAGGCAGACCCCTCGAAGCCACAGGCACCTCTCCCTCTGAGGGGTCTGGCCGTGCTCTGGCCCTGGAGAAGCGTGGCTCTAAGCTGCTGGCGAGATTAGGCTGCTGAGCCTGGTGGTGGGCAGATCTGGTCCATAAAATTTCACTGTGGGAGGGCAGTGCTAATCTCACAAGCTGCTTGTGGTAGGGGCTGCTGGGGGCAGCTTTGATGTTGGGCTGTGCACTGTGGCGATGAAGCTCTGGGCTGAAGCCGCAGGGGCCGTGGCTCAAGTCCCATCAGCCCGCTCATGAGCTTGAACAAGTCATTTAGCCTCTTTAGGTCAAAATTTTCAATCATAACAAACCCTAGTCCTGGGCCAACATGTCTGGCGGGAATAAACCAATTAATTGGAAAGGAGCAGGAGTTGAAACAGAGTGGATACAATGGATATATTTTTGTATCACTTTTGCCCATTGATTTTTTTTTTTTTAATTTCAACTTCCCCCTGTGTTGTAGAGTCTGTCCGGTTTATAATAGAGAACCTGGAAGATTTTTGTGTTGAGATGTTCCGGATGCCTGCTTTCTTCTGGTGCCTTTTATGTCCTGTCTTAAAACAAGTTAATCAAACTGCACACATTAACGTGTGCAGCCAACATGCCCAATGAGAGCGGAGCATTTCGGGAGCCTCCAGACCCCGGGGCTTGGTGCTATAGACATAAAAAATAGTTTAACTTTAATCAAGGTCATGGTTGCCTTGTTTAATCTTTATGTGTTTAAATGTTTACAGGATGTTCATGTGAATTTTATGAATCCTTCTGTCTTTGTGACTCAACCATCTGCCAAAGAAAAAATTAATTTTCCCAGTGAGACAGAGAGAGACTGAGTTGTTGTCCCTATTAAGCTGGTTGGGCTGCTGTTGAAGCAACAGGCTGTGTCCCCCAGATTCGAGAGTGTTGATCCTTATAACCAACTTGGCCGTCAGCTCCACAGGGCCGGTATTTGCCTTTGAGACCTACTCCAGGTCCTCCTCTTGGCCGTTAGCCACTTTGATGTGTGGACAGAAGTGCAGGTAATGAGTGCTTCTTTGCTGCCCCCACTCATCCTGCCAAGATAATTCATCTCTTTAAAAAAAAAAATCTGAGCTTGCTCCAGAGCTGAGCTGTTGAGAAGGAAAGAAGAGAATCCCTCTCTAGGAGGAAAAGAACCGGGTCTGGTGTTTTGTAGCTCCATGATCTGGGTTTGGGGGGGGGAGGGGGCGGGACAAAGCCCTCTGTCCCTGCCCCCTTTTGCCTCCAAAGCCTGTCCCTCAAGAGTCATCTTGTGACCAGGGCAAATTCTAGGGAGTGGAGGTAAAGGGAGGAGCCAGCAGAGGTCTAATACTCTGTGACTGACCATCTCAACCCCTCTCTCTCCTTCACCTTCCACCGGGCTCGCGTTAGAAAGTGGGCATCTACGAAGAGCTGGGGTTGGGGAATCATCCAGGTAGGAGTGAGGCCCTGGGGTCCACTCCCCCCAAGTGTCTACTGGAATGTGACACATAACAGAGTAACTGCCCGCCTTGAGGCAGGAGCTGCCCCGCCCCTGTCAGTGGGGAAGGTGAGGAATTGTGGACACTCCACTCGCTCACCCTGGGGAGCGCCACGCGGGACACCCAGGCCACCCTGTGCTCTCTGCCCCAGGACTGCTTTTTCTCTGCCAGTGGAGCACACTAGTTGATTATGTGTTGAGGATTTCCCAGTGGGACAGAGATGGGGGTGGGGCCTTCAGGTGTAGCAGGGCCTTTGAGAACTTGCTGGCAGTCAGATTCAGTCAGCATTGCAGAAAGACCTGGCTAAAAAAATTGCCTGACCAGCTCTCTGCTGTGGCCAGGGAGTGCAGTGGAGGATGGCCCAGGTACTTGGGCCCTGCACCCCATGGGAGACCAGGAGAAGTACCTGGCTCCTGCCATCGGATCAGCGCGGTGCGCCAGCCGCAGTGCGCTGACCACGGAGGCCATTGGAGGGTGAACCAACGGCAAGGGAAGACCTTTCTCTCTGTCTCTCTCTCACTGTCCACTCTGCCTGTCAAAAAAAAAAAAAAAAAAAAATTGCCTGAGCTCTGAGGAGGCAGGGAGACCAACAAGTTACCCAGAGATACTGCTGGTTTAGTAATGAGCACCCTAACACATTCTCCAAGAACAAAGACATCCCTCATCCCTTAACATTTGGCGAGACTTACAGTAGCACCAAGGCCACCACTGGCTTTTGGGAAAAGTGCCTTCCCTAAGATAACTGTGCATGAAAATAAAGCAGTTGACTCTGGAGTAACTTTCTTTAAGGAGAAAAAACAAGTTGGGACCAGGTTGTGGAGCAGGTAAAAGCACCCGCCTGTGACACAGGCATCCCATATGGGTGGCAATTCGAGTCCTGGCTGCTCCACTTCTAGTCCAGCTCCCTGCTAATGGCCCCGGGGGAAAGCAGCAAAGGTCCTGGATGAAGCTCTTGGCTTCGGCCTGGCTCAACCCTGGCTGTTGCGGCCATCTGGAGAGTAAACCAGTGGATGGAAGATCTTTCTCTCCATCTCTCTCTCTCTCTCTCTCTCTCT